CGACGCCAATCTAGAAGGAGATCGCTCATCCTCGCACTGCTCAATCTCACATCCCGCACCGGAGTCATCCGCGATAGTCGGGGACCTTCCTACTTCGTCCTCACTAGCGGCACCATCCCCAGAACCTCCCGGCGATGGATCCTCCACAGAAGCCGGCGATGTCTCAACTCCATCAGCACCTATCGGAGACCGATCGATCGAGTTCCCCTCCGAAAAATCATCCTCCGGACCCGCCGGTTCAGTGACCATCTCCACATCATCGGGCAAGCATCGTCCGCCTCCATCTCCACGGGCAACACCACCATCATCTTCCATCCGATCGAAATCGGGACGAGCACAATCGCTCTCCACCCGAACTCCTTTCCCCTTCTCAGCCCAAGTCAACCTCCTCTTCGCAATATCCATCGATCGACCGGCCAAGCCCAAATCTACCCTAGCGGCGGCGGCGGCGAGTGGCGTCGAACGAACTTCCGGCGGCGGCAAAATAGCGAATTCCCGGCGGCGGCGAAGCGATAAACCTCCGGCGGTGAGCGATGGAACCCCCGGTGGTGAGCTGTTCGATTTCACCTTCAACAAAAATAAAAAGAAGAGAAAAGAGAGAAGGGAGAGAGAGGGGAATACCTTGGAATGGAGAAGAATAAAAGAAATGAGAGGAGAACCTTATATTTATAAAGAAGCTCACGGAGACCGAGGCCGTCAGAAAAATTAGACCTAATGGGCCTAGGCATCCGCAATTGTTTTCCCGCCGAAACATTCCTTTCCTTCGCTTAAACCAACGACGGTTTAAATCGAGAAGTCATCGGGCGGAGGCTTGAAGGCACATATACGCAAATTTTGGATTGGTCGAAATCAAGAAAGAAGAGGATTTTAAAAAAAAAATCGTCCATCACGCGCGCAGATAACCCGAGCCAGTCATTCTTAAAGCCAATTCATCACAATCCGCTTCCAAGAAATCGGGCTCCTTGCAAACGGACTGGGGGGGACTTACTGTTGGAGGAGGATTGATCATCTCTCCCCAAGGCCCATCGAATGACAGTCTTCGGCCCATCTAAAGTCCGACCGAAATCCAATTGGAAGAAACGTCGAACTAGAAGTCCGAACGACCGGTTCAATTACATAACCGGGATGAGGACGATTTAAACCAGGTTAACGAGTAATTGTTAGCTCGAAAGCCCATTAAGCACGAGCTCGATCTTGGGCCTCTAAGACGAGCTTTAGGGCGAACGAAGCAAGGAAAAAGAACTTGGAGTATAAAAGGACGAAGAGGGGGAAAGAGAAGGGATCCGCAAATTACTACAAGAACTCTGACGGCAAGGTTTAGGGTTTTACGATCAATCGAATCTCCTTGTAATCTAGTCGGACTTTCATAAAGCTCCGACCTTTGTTCTTTTCTCGAATCTTTCTGTAATCTCCTCTTGATATCAACTCTGATTAATAAAACGCCTTCGAAGAACCCACAAATCGAGTTTAGTTTTCTAGTCAATCGACCGTACAAAACTCAGATTCTACATATTGATGTATCTTTTAATCTTTATACTCTCAGAGATTCACCTAATGGTTTGCATGGGAAGTTAACTTCAGTGTACTAATAAGTGTTGTAGTTACTTTTGTCTTTTTACTGGTTCATATTAGTGAATTATTGGTTACTTCCAACTGTGTTTGATTATTTTGTACGTACCATCTTTTGTTGTATTTTTGAGTAATTATCTATGTGAGACGTTAGCTTAACTGTTTAAAATATCTATGCGGTGGTGATAGAAGTATAGAAACACTATACAAATCTAATGCAGACAAGATGAATGGAGATAGTACTGTGCTGTGTTTGACGTTTTCATCCATGTGTTCTAGTGTCGGTCATCCATGTTTTATATGTACATTTTGCTGCAGACTGATGTAATATTTCATCAGATACAGTTATAGTGTTATAAAATCATGTTTACTTTTTAAAGTGGATGATATAATAATTAAGAAGGGTCGACAGTAATGAAAACAACACTTGGTGCACGACATATTCTGCAAAACAAAACAAAAAGTCTGGTCAATAATAGAGGGAAAGGGGGCTCCGCAAGATTCGTTTCAAACATGATCTCAAATCATTTATATCTATCCACACGCTTCATATGCTAATTAACATTATTTTCAACTGTTTTCATTTGATTTGTATAGTTTATTCTTCGTAGTGTGGATTTTGTAACCATAATCAAGATCAACTTCCATGGACCGGAGGCCTTCACTACACTTGGGCCTATGCTATATCATATGAGTTGTGTGTTTGGACAATTTCAAAACAGCTTGTGTTTGTTTTTGGTTATGAATGGTGACCGAGGAATAATCCATTCCCTAACATTCCTAAAAAAAATCACCATTTACAAGGAATAATTTTCCCTTCTGATTCTTTTTTTTTGTATAGGAATATAAAACAAAATGATTCCTTGTTAAAATTGATAAGGAACAATCATTCTTTTTTGTTCCTGCAAATTTTTTTCTATCCATTTTTTTTTCTTTCATTCTTATCGTTTCTATAGTGGTTATGTCCTTCTGGTCTTGTAATCGTTTCCTAAAATGTCACGATTATCTTGTAGAATTATACTAAGTATATTTTAAATTACGAAACATTGATACCGGAGTATTTAAGTTTTTTATTTGAAATACATGTAAATATCTATTCTCCAAATTGCTTTTTATTTAGGTAAATCTAGTAGTAATGGACTTCTCTACCTATTTAAAGAAAAAGAAAAAAAGAAAGACTTCTCTACCTTGGTGTGTTTGTACCATTGCTGTCTAAGTTTCTTAAACCAATTTGTAAACAACGATAATGATTCAGTCGGGGAGAAATACGCAGTAGTTAAGTTTGATCTAGTAACGAATGTGTGTTGTGTGAGTTTGTGACAAGTTCTTCCACTTGAGTGAAATTAACTTCAATTAACATTGATTGTCTGATGATTATTACGCAAATATGTAAACATACTTAGTCAATAAACAAAAGGAGAGTCGGTGTGCACATGTATGCTGCTTATAAAGTAGAAAGTGTCTGTCATGCTTTTGTTTTGAAATTTTGCATTTTTAGGGTATGTAGGGCTGCTTCGGTGCTTTGAATCCAGCTTTGCCGTTAAGAAAACTACCTTCTCAAATGTTCTTTTTAAAAAAAAAAAAATTATTCAAAGAGATTTTTGGCTTAGAACATCATCAAGAGGGTTGTTTAAGGAGGGTGTTTAATGTTTTTTGTTAATGGATCCGACAAAAAATAACATTAAAAGTCTCTTTTCAAAAATATTTAATTAAGCATCCGAAATAGCTAGTTGTTTGCATGGTTTGCGAATCCCACTGACATGCAGCAATCCGTGATTGGTTCGTTTTTTTATTTTTAAAATTTTTTTAAACAAATAGAAATATATTAAACATCCCAAATGGGATGCTAAGATTGAAGATGCTCTAAGTATGCAAAATCAAGCTTATATATTTTAATTTGCAAAATCAAGTCAGAATACATAGCAACATAAAAGTTATATTATGCAAATCAAGTCAGTATAAGATTGAACTGTGTTTTCATGGACTGCGTTACATGATTTTAAAGTTACAAACGTATATATGAGCGGATATTCAGAACAGATGTGTAGTAGATAACTTTTGAAGCACGTGCTAGCTTGCCTGAATGTCGGACAATGTTTATCTGCAGCATGAAGTGTAAACACCATCTGAAGAACTAAGTCATACAGTGCTCGCACATACTAAAGGTCTAAAGATGACAACTTTGTTATATGTATCGTCATCGAAAAAGGAACGTACACACCGTGGCCGTCAATTCCTAAAAGTATATAACGCATTAATGTATGGTTGAAAAACTACGATGAGAAAAAGAAAGTGAACGAATGGTAAGCAGCTTCACATGATCAGTTTACAAACTTAATACATACTATTCGTTAATATCGTTTCCTTATTAGTGATTTTGATCAAGTTGATTAAGTTCCAGAGTCCCGACTAACTGAAGTTATTCTAAGAAACATTCGCACTGAAATCACATAAAAGGGCCATCCATGCAGAATAATCACAGTTATTGTTGGTGATATGACACTCTCTAGAATTTTCTAGTACAAGAATTATCATTTTTGTTTATACCATGAGCATATATAAGCTGCATATATAACCATCAACAAATAACAAGGATAGATATTCGCCTCACACTACACTAATTATAAATGGGACTTCAGTTATATATACAGCATGTGAAAGTCCAGAGGCGGCCCTGGGCACAAGCAGTAGAAGCAGTGGCTTCCGGCTGCCAGTTTATATATTATAAATCGGCCACAAATTTTTAAAAATATGTCTTTAGTATAGTGGTTGAACAGCGCTTGTACACGTATCTTAACCACGGTTCGATTACCCCCAGACCGGCTCTGTGTGAAAAAATCCAGTTTACCATTGTTTGTCATATCCATTGTTTTTGTATTTGTCATTTTCCATTATGAAAAATTGTTATCCAAACCAAAGCAAACTGAAAAACTGTTATCCAAACCAAAGCAAACCTCGTATTAACCGCACAAGAAAATATATGTTATCATCGGTAGATATGAGTATCTATCATCCACAGGTGAGTTGATGTTATTATATAAATAAAACTTATATCTTCGGCACTTTTACTCATATGGTTTTCTTTTGGTGTGTGGGTCTGCGACTTTTACAAGTATTTTTGAGCCCGAATATTCGGAATAAGGTAAATGCGTAAAAAAGCCAGAATGAAAAAGATGGTCTCCCCAGTAATTTACTTTGAGCTTCATCTAGTCCCATACTTACACATGTCCAGATACTGTCGTTCTCCTGACTCGAACCATTCCAACATTTTCTGGAACTATGGAAACGTAAAAGAAACCTTATGTTATGTTTTTAATACGAAAATACCCTCATATAGGACCCAAGAATCCCCTACTGTCTATAAATATGGGCCTCCTACAATGCAATTCTTCCCTTTTCCCCTTCTATTTTTCCTTTCATCTAACATTTTGAGAAAATATTGTTCAATTTGGTTTTAAGTTTGGAGAACCAATATGTCTTCGATTTTTCCGGTTTTCTCATCAGAACCAGGTTCTTGCTCGGTTCTGGAAACTGGATTCACTCCATGGGACGATGCCTCAGATCTATTCTCAATGTTTGATTCACCGGTTTGTCCCGTGGAAGTAAATCCCGGTTTAGAGAAAACAAATTCATTTCCTATTCAAACCAAAAATAATTCCAATCCCGGTTTGGAAGATAAACCTTTTAACCAAACTGGTTTGAACGTTTTTCTTCCGGATAAAGATGAGCGGCGAAAGAAACGAAAAAGATCAAACCGAGAATCTGCTCGACGGTCGAGGATCAAGAAACAAAAACACATAGAAGAGGTGAAAAGCCATCTTAACCAGCTCACTACCAAGAACCGGGAACTAGTGAATCGGCTTCGGTACGTTATGCACTATTGTCAACGTGCAAAGATGGAAAATGATCGTCTAAGATTGGAACAACAAATTCTCCATGATAAGCTGTTGAACTTTCGACAAGCTTTGGTGCTAAGACAAGTCCAACAGAGCTCAACATGTGCCACGTGTTCATGCGTTGATAGTACCGTTGTAACGGTACATCAGAATCCGTCAATGATAAGAGATCACCTCATTTGAGATTTACGTAGAAAACCATATTGCGACGTCGTCGACAAAACGGGAGTATTACTGTTAGTCTTTTGTATTTTTTTTTTGTAAATAAGTGTCGAGAAATAATTCAAGAGGTAAGGCATGCTATTTAGTTATTTAATGTGGGAAATCATATATTGTAAAAAAGTCATATATATATATGATGTTATTTATAAATTACAAATGCTTCTCTTCTTGTTACTTGTATGTGTTACAACATACGATTTTTCTAATTTACTGGAACGTGAAAAACATAAATACTACATATTCTATAGTTATGATGTGTGAGAAGTATGCGCATGATATAATAAAAATAATGGAAGTATAGTTCAGATTCGAATACATGATGCTATCTGTTCATCCCTAAGAGCATATTAACCCGGAGTTCTCATAATAAGGCTTTTAACGGAAATTAAAAAAACTGTTTTTTAACTTTTAACTAAAAACGCTAAAATTAAAAATCGGTTCTTAGAGTTTTTAATTAAAAATAAAGAAATAATTTCTTATCTTCCGCTAAGAACCCCACCCTAAAAACTTTGGGTTAATCATGGTCTAACCACGCGTAATTTGTAGAACGTATTTTTGGCATTTTATCAGTCAGGAAGTCCCAATATATTGCACTACACACAAAATACTTGGTTCTAATTTTTCATTTGGTGATTAATTAGTTTTATGGCCGTAAGAAATTAGTAAAATTGATTGTATATGTACTATTATATAATAGTCTGAGACAACATTGTCATCCCTATCGTAATATTGCTTTTATAAACTTTTGTTATAGTGTTTCATTCTCACTAGACATAGCGATCGACGCTCGCTTTATTGTGCTTTAGCGTATACGATCTAACAGGTGGAATGTTTTTTTACCAAATCTGGATATATATTAAAGAGAATGGTCTGATGACTTTATAATCATATAGGTCCACTAGTCATTTCTTAAGCAAGCGCCTACACCTTAACCTCTCTATTAATTATTCGACAAAGATGAAAAATATGAATGGAGTAATAGTTTACGAGGTTGTGATTATATAACAATAACAAACACTTCAGTCAATGCACCAAACATAAGACATGTTTTGGTAAAGTAATAAAATAAAATCTAAGGGGTGGAAGAGTTTCAGGATGTCTAAAACTCGTTCAAAAATAAGAAAAGCAAAAGTTAGCTTTTTGCAAGAAATCTAAAATCTATCCATCTCACTTTTTTCTTTTCCTTTCCATATGTTTTTGCTTTCCTCCCTTTAGAGTTGTTAGTGAATCTATATTTGAACAAACTGTTTACGTAACTAAGTGCTTGTGTAAAACTTAATTAACGACTAGTCGTCGACCCATAAACACTTACAACTATCAAACTAAAATGAAACTAAACGTTTTCTTTGATAGGCAAACAACAAGATAACTAATTATAGATTATTTTCCTTAAATATAAACCAACTAGGGTTGAGATGTGAACTTGTATGGTCCGGCAGATAATCTAGTCTTGCACATGATTTATTAGGATCTTTTTATCATCGTGTATCTTTATTATAATGCTTTGTAGAAAAACAACATTAAGAAGAATGGATTACTTGATACTATATAAATTTTACAAACTTTCGATATGAACTTGAATTTTACGCGTGCAGGTAATAACAAAAAGAAAATATATGATGGCGAATAAGAAAAGGAGGAACTTGGTTTGTCAACTAATTAAATCCACTTACTGTTGTCTTTGAATTGAATTTAATGACAAAGAAGTTCAACATTCTAAAGTTACTTTTATTTGTTCATGATAAGATGCATCTGAAAATGTCTATAGAATACGATTTTATTATAAGTATTAGATAATATATAATACATGTGATATGCACATATTCCAAACCGAGTGTGACATACTTTAGCTAAAGGTATGAATGGTGACCAAATAATGAAGAGGAATAATATATTATCTAACATTCCTAATTAACAAAATTCATCATTTATAAAAAATAGTTTTTTCTTTTCATTCTACATTCTTTTTATTATAAAGAAATATAAAATAATATTATTCTTTAATAAATATGATAATGAATAATAATTCCTTGTCATTCCTAGAATTTTATTCTTATATATAGATTCATTTCTTAAATTAGACCTTAAATACTAAACATTAGAGTGAAATTATGTAACATGTTAGTGTGAGGCCTTTCATATCAGAACTATTAGCTAATAACACCCATAAGGCACGCCCATTAATATATCAGTTCCAAACTTCCATATAATTAAAGGCCCATAATTTAACTTAATGAAACCCTAACTCGCCATCGGTTATAAATAGCCACTATACACTTATTTTGTCTCCATAATTCGCCATCTTGTCATGTCTTCTCTTTTAATTTTCGTTTTTTTAAATAATGATTTTCATTGTCAAGCAATTTGTTAATTTCACTGCGAACGGCTTTTTGTTTGTTTTTGTTGTGATTTTATTTTATTTTTCTCAAATTCGGTCGGAGAAGAGAGCAGTGATTATAAAATACAAGAATCAAAAAAATTCTGATCTGCTCATTAACTGGGCGTGATTGACTCATGATACACCCATAGAATATGAGCTCTCTTCTCACAACCTCATTTTTTTTCTTGGTTTCCAAATCTTTATCAGTTAAATCATACGTACCTAGCTTACCTTATCTTTGGTATGTTTACTTTAGTTCACTTTGTTGTTTATATTAATTAGTCTATAAAAACTTAGTAACTCTAAACACAATAACGTGGTGAAGAACTAATCCTTAAATACTAATTACTAGACCAGAGAACGAATTTCATGAACAACGACTGTTGTGGCGTCTATGTAAAATTACTGCATGAATGCTATACATATATACAGTGGATCGATGAATATAATCGGACAATGATGACCATGAGAAAAGAGGGACATTCATGTGGTTTTTAATCTAAATTCGTATTGGGTTTGGATAAATTAATGAAAATATCATACATGGGCATTTATATCTGGAGACGTATTATACTATGCCAATGATCCATGGATTGTGATAGGAGAACCAGAAAAATAATTCAGTTCTTAACCAGAGGTGATGGTGTAATGATAGGCGGGCTTTGGAATTGCTAAACAATCCAGATTTTGAAGATATCCCACTATATTTTATTTAATGGCTACACAGATATGAATTATTGTTTTCGATCCATTTGAAAGTCTAGGAAAGAGTTCATACATGTCTTAGACCGAATTTAGATTTTTTCCTGAAAAAATAAAATAATAATTCAGTTCTTCCCAAATAATTAGTCAAGAGAACTTTTAGATGGAGAATAGAACAGCTACTTTAGCTAATTACAGCATGAAAAATTGTATATGCCTGGATATATCTTCCTAATTAACAACTAGCTCTTTTGAAAAAAAAACAACTACTCTTAGTTTTTTTTTCTCATCTTCTTCCAATTAGTTACACTAGGAAATATAATAACCTTCAAAATGACAAGATCATCCAATAAGCCAGCCCATTGAAATATTTACTTATATAACATTAGAAAATATTTACTTATATAACATTAGAAAGTTAGAAACCCATAAAGGCCCAACAAAACCCTACCTCTAAATCCACCGTCAGATGTATATATAACTAGCTAGTAGTGTCGCCTCACTTTTCATATTCGTCTCCATCCTTCTACTCACCCCTGCAACCAAGGCAAAGTTAACACTTATCTTCCATATATCTTTTGAAAATTTGCCAGTCTCGTTTCTTCTTCCCTTTTACCATTCCCTATTCTACTTCTAGTCGATACTTTTTAAAAAAAATTAGTGGCGATGATGACAAAAAACATTTCTCGATACTGAAACTTACTCGAGGGACCAAAACCACTCTTGTAATCTTTTTTGATGTTTGTTGTTTGTGCGTGTCTGAGCCCTTCTGTTTTTGTTTTTTTTTTTAAATTACCTTAATTATTATGTACAATCCGTCTTTACAACCTGTTTTTGTGTTACACATTGTGTTTCCGTTAATCAGATCCGAGACCAAATTGATTATTACTACAGAGATTTATTTGGACCTGTTTCTAATTAGGTTTTAATTTTATATTTTTCAGCTTGTTATTAACCGAAACTCATGGAAGAAGGAGATCAGTTATGCCTCGCAGCCAAAACCAACGACTTAAAAAAACTCAAAACCCTAATAACCTCCGGCGCCGACGTCTCCCACTTCGACGCCACCGGTCTAACACCGTTAATGCACGCCGCGAAAACCGGAAACACCGAGATAATCTCAGCTCTCCTCGAAGCAGGAGCTCCATGGAACGCATTATCCCCTACCAATCTCTCAGCAGGAGACTTCGCAATGGAGGCAGGACACCAAGAAGCGTTCGACCTCCTCCTCAGAACCGGAATCCAATCGGAACTAATCTTGGGAACAATCGCTCGTAAAGAAACAAAAGATGAATACTCAAACCAAGAGTATCTACAAGACAGAGTCACTTTCAGTGAAGACAAGATTATGGATAATGAGAGAAAAGGAGTTATGATGGCTTGGGAGAAACCGTTGATGGAGGCTCACGCTAAAGCCATATGTAACAACGGTGGGTCCATTTTAAACATTGGTTTCGGTATGGGACTTGTTGACACAGCGATACAGAAGTATAATCCGACGAAACATACTATTATTGAAGCACATCCGGATGTGTACAAGCGTATGGTTGAGTCTGGTTGGGGGGAGAAGGAGAATGTGAGGATTGTTTTCGGGAGGTGGCAAGATGTTGTTGATGATGAGCTTGATGAGTGTGGTTACGATGGGATTTTTTTCGATACGTATGGAGAGTATTATGAGGATTTGTGGGAGTTTCATCAGAAGTTGCCGAAGCTTTTGAAAGCTGATGGGGTTTATTCGTATTTTAATGGGTTTTGTGGGAGTAATGCGTTTTTTCATGTGGTGTATTGTAATCTTGTGACGTTGGAGATTGAGAGTTTGGGGTTTAGTACTCAGTTGGTGCCGTTGCCGGTTAAGGATTGTCTTGGTGATGAGGTTTGGGAAGGTGTTAAGCAGAAGTATTGGCAGCTTGATACTTATTATCTCCCTGTTTGTCAGTTTAGTGAGTGAAGGTTTCGTTAAGTTTTTAGCAAGTTTTGTAATCCTTTTGATAATTTTTAGTTATGAAAGATTAATGTTTGTTAATTGCTGATTTTTCTTATAAATTGTAAATTTGATGTGAGTAAATAATGTATATCCATTTTCTCTTTGCTAAGGGAAGAATTTGGATTGAACTGAAGTACTAAACTGTAGAAAATTGACCTGGCTTTTATTGGCCCATTATGTAAATGATGTCCAATCTAATAAATGTTAAAGATGACCCAAAAAAGAATTTAATGTGGAATACATCGCTCCGTTCATTTTACTTATCATTCTACGTTTCTACACAGATTAAAAATATATTTAATTTTATATATTTTGAAGATAAAAATAACATTAAATCTATAAACCTACTTAATCACTTTTCAACTAATAAAAAAATAGAATATCATATAAAGTTAATAAATTTTGTCTATAAATTCTAAAATGACACTTATCTTTAAATGAATTTTTTTCTCTAAAATGACAACTAATTTGAAATGGAGAGAGTATAATTCAGTGTAAGTGACTTCCAAGTAGTTAATTTTCTGTATAAATTTCAAATTTGAATCCATATTTGTTTAACTGGATGATCCATGTGAAAATCATCAAAACCCACCCATCAGTTCATCATATCTCCAATTACTTTAGTGGACCGCAGCAAAAGCCCATTCAATATCGAACACAGGCCCATATATACTCCTTACTCCAAACGACACCGGTTTCCTCAGTCTTATTACTCCCAACGGCCAAGAAAAATCCGTCAGCATTCGAGTCAAATCACCAAATGCTACCGTTTACAAGATGCATCCTCCAGAATCTCCTCAGCAAACGCCAATTCGTCTCTGCATCTTCCCAATTCAAATCTCAACTTGACCTAACTCACCGAACTCTCCACGTTTCCTCATCCCTCGAATCCAACTTCCGTAGAAGCAACGTAACAAACTTAATCTCTCTCTCGAAGAGCCACAACGAAGACCCCAAAAAAACCCCAAACCACGACGAATTCTCCTCCGACGTCGAAAAATCATACAGAATCCTCCGTAAATTCCACTCCCGAGTCCCCAAGCTAGAACTCGCGCTCAACGAATCCGGAATCGAACTCCGCCCCGGTCTAATCGAACGAGTCCTCAACCGTTGCGGAGACGCAGGAAACCTAGGTTACAGATTCTTCGTATGGGCCGCAAAGCGGCCCAATTATCACCGCCACAGCTACCAAATATATAAATCAATGACACAACTCTTAAGTAAGATGCGGCAGTTCGAGGCCGTTTGGAGTTTAATCGAAGAGATGCGGAAGGAGAATCCAGACCTGATTGAGCCTGAGCTGTTCGTTGTTCTCGTGAAGAGATTCGAAGGCGAGGAGATTGTGAAGAGAGCAGTCGAGGTGCTCGACGAAATGCCTGAACCGGATGAGTATGTTTTCGCGTGTTTGCTCGATGCGTTGTGTAAAAACGGGAGGGTTAAGGATGGTGCGAGGCTTTTCGAGGATATGAGGGTACGGTTTAGGTCGAAACGTGGCTATTTTGTTTCGTTGCTGTGTGGTTGGTGTGGAGAAGGGAGGATGATTGAAGCTAAGTATGTTTTGGTTCAGATGGAGGAAGCTGGGTTTGAGCCTGACGTTGTTGATTACAGTGTGTTGATTAGTGGTTATGCTCTTGCTGGTAGAATGGCTGATGGTTATGGTGTTTTGAGAGATATGAGGAGGAGAGGGTTTGAGCCGAGTGTGAATTGTTATACTGTTTTGATTCAGGGGTTGTGTAAGGTAGGTAGAATGGAGGAGGCGATGAGTGTTTTTGTTGAGATGGGGAGATATGAATGTGAGGCTGATAGTGTGACTTACACTGAGTTGGTTAGTGGGTTTTGTAAATTGGGGAAGATTGATAAGTGTTATAGTTTGTTAGATGAGATGATAAAGAAAGGGCTTATGCCGTCTCAGCTTACGTATATGCATATCATGGCGGGTCTTGAGAAGAGGGAAAATTTGGACGAGTGTTTGGAGTTGATGGAGAAGATGAAGCAGATAGGGTATGGTCTCGATCTTGACATTTACAATGTCGTTATCAGATTGGCTTGTAAGTTGGGAGAAGTGAAGGAAGCTGTTCGGTTATGGAACGAAATGGAAGCAAACGGTTTGTGTCCTGAAGTAGACACGTTTGTTATTATGATTAACGGATTAACAAGCCAAGTTTGTTTACTCGAAGCCTGTGAACACTTTAAAGAAATGGTAAGTAGAGGACTGTTCTCTGTGCCTCAATACGTAACTTTGAAGTCATTACTGAACTCTGTTTTAAAAGACAAGAAGCTAGAAATGGCTGAAGATGTTTGGAGTTGCATTACAAGCAAAGGCGCTAGCGAGCTGAATGTATCGTCTTGGACGATATGGATCCATGCATTGTTCTCGAAAGGTTATGTGAAGGAGGCATGCTCTTATTGTGTTGAGATGATAGAGATGGACTTTATGCTGCAACCTGATACATTTGCTAAGCTTATGAAGGGTTTAAAGAAACTGTATAACAGGGAATTCGCGGTGGAGATTACGGAGAAGGTGAGGAATATGGCAGCTGAGAGAGGTATTAGTTTTAAGATGTATAAGAGAAGAGGTGTGGATGATTTGACTGAGAAAGCTAAAGGTAGAAAAGATAGAGAAGGGAAGAGGAAGCGGAGGACTCCATAACGTTAAGTTGTAGAATGCATGTTGTTTATGAGACTTGGTAGTGTCGGCAGAACGGCAAGAATTTCTATTTTTGTTAGTTAGATTGTGAAGAGGATAAAACGACGGCGTTTGGGAGTGTCGTGATGTCTGACAATAACAGCGCGAAGCTCTCCTCCAGTAGCTAAAGAGCGCTTAAAGAAGAAAGCTTTCACACACGAATTTTTCTCGGATCTGAGATCTTTGGATCCAAACATCGTTTATTCGAAATCAAGGTGTGTATGCTTTTTCTTCTCCTCTCTTGATTTCTCGTTGATACTTTTCTTTTCTGTTTTTCGTTCTGTGAGTTCCTTGTTCCATGGATCTATTACATCGATGGTAATGAATTGTTTCTGCGGATCTGCTTTTTTCAAAATTAATTTCCTTATCTGTTTCATTGCATCAATGAACGACAGCTAGTTCAGATGTGTTCTTTGTGTTGTGGATTAATAAATTTTAATGTCTATTTTTTTGCTTTGAAGGTCTAAGGAAAGGTTTGAGGGATCTTAGTCATGGCAAGAAGGCAAGTAGGTTCCACGAGGCGTGGAGGGGATAGTGGAAGCTTCCCATTTGTAGGAGCTTTGCACTCCAAGTCACGTTCGTCTCCTCTGCTATCTCTTTGCCTTGTTCTCGTGGTATGATGAATGATCCTTCAATTGTAATCTCTTAAGTGATTCCTTTCAGTAGGATACAAATTAACATTTTTTTTCTCTCTCAAACTGTAATCGTTAACAGGGAGCATGTCTTCTCATTGGTTATGCTTTCAGTGGTCCAGGTTTGTTTATCTTCAACCAACTATGTTTTCTTTGTTATTTCGACTTTAAAGCTCTAATTGAAGGTTTTTTAACGATAGGTATGTTTAAAAGTATCAGAGAAGTCAGCAAGATCACAGGTAATTCGTGTTTCTCTTTTTCCAATACATGTGTATAGTAAGATAGTGTTAGTCTTTCGAATAAATATTCTCTTACAACTTTCTACAGGTGACTATTCATGCACATCAGAAGTTCAAAAAGCCATTCCTGTTCTCAAGATTGCTTACGGAGATAGCATGCGGAAAGTCTTGCACGTGGGTCCTGAAACATGCTCGGTGGTCTCTACTCTGCTAAAGGAAGAAGAGACTGAAGCATGGGGGGTTGAACCATATGATGTAGAGGATGCAGACTCTAACTGCAAAAGTCTTTTGCGTAAAGGCCTTGTACGTGTTGCTGACATCAAGTTCCCTCTGCCTTACCGGTCAAAGTCATTTTCTGTTGTGATCGTCTCAGATGCTCTGGATTACCTCTCACCAAAGTATCTGAACAAAACCGTTCCTGAACTTGCACGTGTTGCTTCAGATGGTGTTGTTCTTTTCGCAGGTAACTAAAACCCAGCCTTTCAGAGATTATAACGGCTTAAGTTTTGAGGTATCCAAACTGATAGAACTTAAAATCTTGATCAATTATAGGTAATCCTGGTAAGCAAAAGGCTAAAGCTGCAGAGTTGTCGAAGGTGGGACGACCGGTAAGTTCATCTTCTTCTCAATGGTTGAAAACAACACATAATAATAGTCAAGTTTGTCATCAGTTTGGTAGATGTAGTTTAGGGTTTATACTTGTCTTGTTCTCAAACTTGATGCAGTTTTACTGTTTTTGCAGGCCAAAATGCGTAGCTCGTCTTGGTGGAACCGTTTCTTCTCACAGACGAGTTTAGAGGAGAACGAAGCAGCAAGCAAGAAATTCGAAAAAGCAGCTTCCAAGATTTCATACAAACCAGCTTGTCAAGTCTTCCACCTCAAGCCATTACATTAGAACATTAGTATTATTGGTCTTCAAACCAGATATATCTCCTCCTCTCTGTTATATGCCTTATTTCCTCTATAGAAAGATACAAATTTTCAACAAACTTGTATTCCATTCTCAACTTTTTGATTCATAATTAAACTATTTAATAAATTAACTTGCATTTGTTTCATTTTAGGCTACGACATTATCTGATAGAGCTTACTACTCTATAGCTTGGTTGGTCGAATAATCAAGTCTATATAAATTATTGATAAATCTTGTTATGTTTTGAGATCTTGGAATAACAGAATTAGTGAAAAAATTTATATCGCTAACTCACTCTCACGTTTTTATTATGCAACTCTACAGGTCAAGAAGAGGCCTGCTTACTGTCCACTCTCTATTTGATCTGGTTATATGAGCTAGGCCCAATAATAAAATTAGAACTGATGCTCATGTACCATGAACATAAATTTAGTACATTAATATAAATTTCAAATGTGGTTAGGTATTTTTAAACAAAACTAAAGAGACTAAACTTTAGTATTTATAATATTTATCGAAAACAAGATCTTTTCGTAGGGGTTAACCCCATATATTTCAAGATAAATTAGAAAATATGGTATTTTGTTTTAACGCATAGCTGCATCATGCACTAATATAGTATGAAGACTAAAGATGTTTGAGACCTTAGGTGTTCCCTTTTCTCTAGAAAATATAGATTTTATAAGGGTTAGTCCACTAGTTAGATCATATATAAATTTTAAATAAATTACTCATTGGAAAATTAGAAAGAATGCCCATGTACCATGAAAATATGTTTACCAAACATTAATATACATCTAGAGTGTGGTTATGTATTTTTAAAACGACATTAATGAGACTAAACTTTAGTATATTTAACATTTATTGACAAAAAACTTAATCTTTTTGTAAGATAAATTAGAAAATATGGTGTTTTATTTTAATGCATATGCATCGACATCTGATGAAGATTAAAGAGTTCTGTGATCTTAGTTGTCCCCATTTCTCTGGAAATACAGATTTTATAGGGACTAATCCACTGAATTAGGTGGAATATGAAGTATTATTAAATAACTCAATAAAGTATTAGAAACGATTCCCATGTATCATGAAAATACGTTTAACATAAATGTATAATGTGAATATGTATTTTTAATCAACGAAAAAAGCCTAAATTTTAATGTGATTATAACTTGAAAAATTAGAAATGATGCTCATATACCATGGAAATAAGTTTAACATACATATATATAAATTTGGAGTGTGGTTAGGTATTTTTAAGCAACACTAAAGAGGCTAAATAGTATAGATAGTATTTATCGGAAGATTCAATCTTTTTGTAGGGGTTAAACCTACATATTTCAAGGTAAATTAGAAAAATGCTTTCCGAATCGGGAGGCTTAGTTACTTAGTATAGTTTTCGTTGTTGTCAATTTTTTTTTATAGAAAATATGTTATTTTAATTTTAATGCATATCCGCATAATGCAATGACATAGTATATGAAGATTAAAAAGGTTTGAGATATTAGGTGCTCCTATTTCTTTAGAAAATATAGATCTTTTAGGGGTTATTACATTAATTAGATCGTATATGAAGTTCAAGTAAATTACTCGTTGGAAAATTAGAAATGATGTCAATGTACCATGAAAATATGTTTAGCACATACTTTACTATAAATAATATTAAGTTTAAGTAAATTTCTAAAACAATATTAATGAGACTAAACTTTATTATATATATCATTTACTGGAAAAAACCCTTTCGTAAGATAAATTAGAAAATTTGAAATTTTGTTTTAATGCATAAATTCATCATGCACTAACATGTGATGAAGATTAAAGAGTTCTGGGATCTTAGTTGTCTCTGTTTCTCCGGAAAATGCAGATTTTACAAGGTTAGTCCAGGAAATTAGGTGGAATTTGAAGTTTTATTAAATTACTCATTAAAATATTAGAAACGATTCTCATGTACCATAACAATACGTTTAACATACATTAATATAAATGTGTAATGTGATTAGGTATTTTTTAATTAACAAGAGCCTAAACTTCAGTATATAACATTTTTCAAAAAAACTCGATCTTTTTGTAGGAGTTTACCCACATATTCAAGATAAATTAGAAAATATGGTACTTTTCTTTTAATTCATAGATGCATCCAACACATATATACCATGAAGATCAAGGATGTCTGACACCTTTGTTGTTCCAATTTCTCTAAAATAGAAAGATTTCATAGGATTTTGTTCTTTGATTTACGTGGTAGATGAAGTTTTATTTTACTAGTTGAGAAATTCTAACTGATGTCCATGTTCCATAAAAATAATTTAGCATACAGTAGTATAAATTTTAAATGTGATTAGATATTTTAAACGTCACTAAAGAAGCTAAGCTTAAGTACAAATAGCATTTATCAGAAAACTAGATCTTTTCGTAGAGTTTAACCCAAAAATTACTTGTTGGAAACTTTGAAATGATGACCATGTACCATGAAAATATGTTTAGCCTACATAAATATACATTGAGAGTGTGGTTTAGTGTTTTTTTTAAAAAAACACTGAAATGTCTAAAAATTATAGATAGCATTTATGGAAAAATTCAATTTTTTCGTATGGGTTATCCCACATATTTCAAGAAAAATCAGAAATTTTAGAATTTTTTGTTTTAATGCATATTTGCATCATGCTCTGAAAGAGTATGAACATGAAAGAGGTTTGAGACCTTATGTCTTCACATTTCTCTAGAAAATAGAGATTTTGGAGGGGTTAGTACACTAATTAGATCGTATATGAAGTTTAAATAAAGTACTTGTTGGAAAGTTTGAAATGATGACCATGTACCATGAAAACATGTTTAGAATACATAAATATACATTGATATTGTGGTTTAGTGTTATTAAACAACACTGAAGTGTGTAAAATATATAGATAGCATTTATCGAAAAATTCAATTTTTTCGTAGGGGTTAACCCACATATTTCAAGAAAAAATAGAAATTTCAGAAATTTTGCTTAATGCATATTTGCATCATGCTATGACATATTATGAAGATTTAAGAGCTTTGAGACCTATTCTATTGCCATTTCTCTATAAAATTGAGATTTTGTACGGGTTAGTACACTAATTAGATTGTATATGAAGTTTAAATAAATTACTTGTTGGAAAGTTTGAAATGATGACCATTTACCATGAAAACCCACAT